GCACAAGGCAGTCAGGAGTTGTCTGTCTCAAAAATCCTGTCCATGGGAGAAGGGTAAGGGCTGAATCTTGATGAGTTCTTCAAAATGGGAACCCTCTTAAGTAAATAAAACCTGTTATAGTGTAAAAATGGACTTCACAGCTGGGTGGTGGTAGCACATGTCCTTAGTTCTAGAGGCAGGTGGATCTCTGTTAGTTTGAGGCCAGCTTGGTCTACAGGGGGGAGTTCCAGGACAGCCAGGACTATGTAGAGAGACCCTGACTTAAAACATCATCACCACCAACAACAGGACTTTTATAAGCTCACAGAAACAAAAGGAAACAATCCAGGTAAATGACTGTCTAATTTTTATTGGTTGGGCTTGGGAGATGCGAAGTGGATAAAGCCGTTTGGATTGGTGGGTTTATTAGGGACTGTGCAAGTTCCATGGATGTCCCATATGAAGAACATGTTCAGATCCTGACATGTTCTAACTGAAGTTGGAAGTAGTGCCGGTTCTCAGGACTGCATGGTTGTTGGGGGTGGCTGTTCCGGTTCTAACCTGTGACCATATGGTAAGCCCTCTGTGGTGTTGTTATGGATTCAAATAGTGAGGAACAGCTGAGCAGACTGTGATCTGTGCACACTTGGCAGTGCACACTCGTGTGGAATACCCACGCGTTCTCCTCTGCACTGTTCTGAATCTGGTTGGCTGTGCTGCAACACGGTGGATTTAGTTTTGGTGGCTTCTTACAATGGCATTTATTTTATGCCTGGAAACCAGATTTAGTGACAGGGTGCAAGAAAAGTAAAGCAAAGAAACCTCATGCTGGGCATTAAATTGCAATTTTTACATGAACCTGAGGGAGCCTTCGAAGACAGAGATACAGAAATAGGCACCCAGGGGCCAGGGTCAGCCTGATAAGAAATAAAGGCTGGTTATATCAGCATCCCGAGAAGAGTGACCACACGCTTAACAAATAAGATTGAGAAAAACACATCCAGAGGCATGCCGTGTGGCCATTTGAGAACAGGATGATGCAAGTCAACATATAGCATTAGGGAACATATAGCATCTCTCTGGGGACTGTGCCACAAGGATATCAGCCATGACTGATGTAGTTGACACTGTCACATAAATAAATAACCCCAGATCCTCTGTGGGTGAACACAATAACGATTTATTCATAGTCAGTGCAGTGTTTGCAGTAGGCTGGGGACACTATCCAGGGCAACTGCTATCCATATGGTGACCCAGTGACCTAACTATGATACTCAAATCTCCCCAGTTAGAGATTAGGGGAAGCAGCACAGATTGGAAATGCGCATGCTGACTTTCACTAGCACTGTAGTGGACAGAAATAGTCACATGACTTTGCCCAAGTGGAAGGAGATAAGAATGAGAGGCCTCTGTGCGTCTGCAACAGAAAGGGAAATGGCTGTTGGTGACACTAGATAAAGACCTTGTTTCCAGGGCTGTCACATATATTACCCTGTGCATACGTGACATGTATTGTGATGTTATTGCCCTATGCCTGACTTACCTGTTACCTTAGTTGGCTCACACATACTGATCTGGTTTCAGGTTAAATAATTATTTGTTACTTATTTAACTATATTTAGACTATAAACTGCATCTCTAAGTCTGACTTGCTTTCCAGTCCCTAACATATAAAGCAGCCAGTATCTAATTAGAGACATATTTGTAAATGAATACCTACTTTACATAATAACAGATAGCATCTGGAATTTCCTTTTTTTATTATGTCAGTTTTTGCTTGAACAGCTATGGAAAAACCCAAAGTTATAGATGGATTTCACAGGTAGCAGACAAGAGGGTGAAAAACACTTATATGGCTTCTAGGGCACGGTGCTATAGGCAATCGACATCTATTTTCTGATGTTATTAACTCATATTCTTCTGCCAGAAATATTAATAGTTAAAGCAGAATCTTATAATTAATAGGATATCTAATTTTTTCTTTTAAAATATTTCCATTAATTCTTTGGGAATTTCATAAGTTATCCTAACTATAGAATGCATGTGTTATTTTTAATGGAAAAGATATTAACTATAAAAATCTTAATGCAAGTATTCAAAACCCATTGTTCAAAAAACTCATTAATTCAATGCTCAAAATCATTGTGGCGGCCGGGCGTTGGTGGCGCACGCCTTTAATCCCAGCACTCGGGAGGCAGAGGCAGGCGGATCTCTGTGAGTTCGAGACCAGCCTGGACTACCAAGCGAGTTCCAGGACAGCCTCCAAAGCCACAGAGAAACCCTGTCTCGAAAAACCAAAAAATAATAATAATAATAATAATTGTGGCATATTTGTTTTCAAACCTTTCCAGTACATATGTCTTTATATAGTTGAGCTCAAACAGTATAGTATATTTTAATCTTGAAGTTTTTTTAATATTTATTACATTATTTTCATTGAAGTTTTTAAAAATATTATTTTGGAGGCTGGAGAGATAGCTCAGTTAGTAAATCCTTGCAATACAAACATAACAATTTGAGTTCAGATTCCCCAGCACTGACAGGCATGGCACTATGCACTTATAAGCTCAGCACTGGGGTGGTAGAGGCAGGAGGATTGCTGGAGCTTGCTGGCCAGCCTGTCTAGACAATCATTGTGAGCTCCAGATTCACTGAGAGACCGCCCTGCCAATTTAACTTTGACCTTCACACAATACATGTGCCTATGCAGGAACATGTATATGTAAATACACATCATTTTAAATGGCTACATAGTTTTCCATGCTATATTTAAAATCAGCTTATTGAACCATTCTTAAATAGTTAAATGAGAGACAAGATTATTTTGACTGCCTAAAAATTGCTACAGTTAAATATTCTGATGTAGAAATCATTTTTCTATATTTTAGGCTATGTTCTTATAATACATCCATAGCTGGAAAATATTAAAGGTTGTAGACATTCATGCAGTCAAAACACCACCACTCAACAGCTAGAAACCCTTATGAATTATCCAATTTGCTTATAGTTTTCCCAGACAAAAGTATGAAGTCTAAACTCCAGGGTGTTAAAATTATTTAGTCTTTTATGTAAGCAATAAAAAAATTGAAAACTGACTCTTACATGCTCAACACAACCTTAATGGATGGGACAATAGTAGCATGGTCAGCATTCCCACGCTGCCTTATGCAGCAGCCATTGAACATTTTAGAGAGAAACATCTGAACTCATCTGGAGCCCCGCAAGTTGCAAAACTGCTGTAGTTCATAGTTTTTCCCTGCAGATTTCCATATTTGTGTTGGCTAAAGCTCTTGCTGAAATGATTGCTTCAATTGCTTTTTCCCCCCTTTCCATATTGAGCAAATATGGCAGAAGCCTGTTCCTAATAGAGTCTAGACACTTCTTTTGCTATTTCGTCATCATGTTTTCCAACATTGCTAACAGCTGGCTCACTTTGCAGGTCCTAGTGAAGTAGCGACGTTCTTGTCCCCTAGCATGAGGGTCCACTGGGGAGAAACTTGACCATGGCACAGTCACTGGCCAGTGCAAGAGATGAGGCCCTGGCTAAGTGGCTGGCTCAGGCCCCATTGTCAAACATCCAGCCATTTAAGATGACAAGCCACTTTATGTATCAAGGGCCTCTCGGGACTATGTGCAAATACATCACCAGGAATGGTCTGTCCACACATCCTAAAGATCCACAGTGATTTTTTTCAAAGCACATTAGGAAGTAGGGCAATTAATTACAATTATCCCCTTTGTTTAGAGGAGGACGTTAAAGCCAGTGAGCAGATAATTGCCTTGACCAAGGTCATACTGTCCCTAAGTAAGGCTGCTGAGATGTGTGAGCCTGGGATTCAAGAAGAGAGCACATAAGAGATAGCAGCTTCGTTTTTGACCACATGGAATGGAGCTGAGTAAGACGTTATTCCCGAGAATCAATGAGATGTAAATAGGTGGAAACAAGAGGAGACAAGAGAATAGGAAATCAAATTATCCTACAGGACTACCCTTATGAATAACGACTATGCAGGAGGCCTCAGTTCACTTATGACAGGGAGAGAAAATGAGCTGATGTGTTTGCCATATGCTGGCAGAAGACATGTGGAGGAAACAGCAGGCTGAGCTGAGCTGAAGGCACAGCTCGGGAACTGACAGCCCGATTTCCTTTCCCATCAGTTTCCACCCCACCCTCACCTCTATCCTGCAAAGGACCTGCTGATAGAGACATCCAAAACTGAGCATCTCAGAAAAGACTAGATTGCTACTCGGGACAGCCAGAGAACAAGAGGAAAAGGTTTCAGGTGGAATCTGGTTTTTAATCTGGAGAACTGCAGGATTGCAAACAATACTCTAGGGGGAGGCATTAGAAATACTTGCTATTTACAACGCAAAGTACATATATGTTCAAAAATGAGTACAGTTAATCGTACACCTTTCTGCTTTCTTAATCAAGATTTCTATCCAAACGCACCATTTTTGAGTCATCTGGGCAATGGGACACATTCTGTTTCTTCAGCTTGATTTGACCATTATCGAATTCAAATTAATGTGTTACTCCAACCCAAATTATAAGTTCCTTTATTATAGACATAACTATGACTCCTACCTGTCAGGGTGAAAATAGACTTCCATGAATTGTGTACATAAAAAAATAACAGTGTTGCAGTGGGAGTAAGATTTCCATTCTACTTTCATTCCTAACCTGTAAGTCTTTGAAACGTCAGTATTTCCATCTCGAAATGCAGGGTTTACTGATTTTTTTTCCTACATCCCAAGGTGACCTGAAGATAAAGTAAGGTAAGATTGAGGGACAATGAAACATTGCATTGATGTAATTTATTAGGGAAGGAAGTGTTTGTTGTATAGTTTCTGTTGCTTGTGCCCTAGCCCTCTTTCTTAACAAATCATCTGATGTGGGAACGTGTCTGGTCCTCTTTAGCCATGCTGTCAGTGTGGAGCAGGTCAGACTGTGGCACGGGGGTGGGGGACTGTTCCCTTAGAACAACCCCCACTGTGTTCGTTGGTGCTGAGCATTCCACGTTTCGATGTGAAGGGTAGGCTGTCGTTAAGTGGGTGTGAGGTGTGTCCACTGTTTGCCCGTGGACGCTTCAGCACACTGCACCTTGGGCTGTGCTCTTACAGTGCGCCTGAGCTCGGTGAAACAGATCGTGTGCGTGCGCCATGTGAGTTCCTGGCTCACACATGAGCAAGGAGGGATGGCCCAAGCCTGGGACTCAGGATGAAGTTCCCCAGGGCTCAGGAAAGTTCCTGCACGGGTTCACATGTGCCACACCTGACGACTCTGGAGAGCAGCCACGCTGGGTTTCATACCCCAGAGGATGCTAGCTGAAGGTCGAAACACAGGTGAACATCCTGCTCCTTGGTGGGAATGGAGTAGCTTTTAGTAATAGTAACGGCAGAGATGAAGTTTGAATTAGCAGTGTACCTTCACTCCAAAAGGGCACAGGCGACGGGCCAAACAATTCCAATGAAGTCCACCTTGTGGGCTGATTGGTTTATTGAGCTTACATGTCTCTCTGGAGCATGTGTGAAGGGCCACTTAGAAGGACACAAATGACTCAAAGGCAGCTGCGTCACTGCACATTCACCCCAGTGTAAGTGACTTCGGACAGCTGCCTCCCTGGAGCTCCCTGCAGGAGTTTCGGGGAGCTCAGCTAGCCTGAGACTTCTCCTTAGCTATTGATTCTGCTTCTATAACCTCGAGGTCCAAGCTGGGTTGATCTTGTCAATTTCAGGAGCTTTCTCACACTTGGGTTTAGTTGACTTCTCAAGCCTTGCTTAGATTCATTTACTTCCTGAGCCTTGGTGAACCTTCTCCCTCCAAGAAAGAATGTTTCGATTTTGAGAACCTAAGTGCAAAACAATGTGTTAATCAAATGGTTTTGTTTCACATTTTAAAACCCCAGTGACTTAGTTCAGGAACGGGAACTGCTATCTTTCCCAACAACTTCAAGGAAGGTAAGGCTACATCTAGACTTCAAGGACTCAGAAGGTATCCCTTGCCTTTTTAGTCCCTTCCATCTTCCCATTGTCTTTAAGTTCAATTTAGCTTCTTGTACACAGCTAGATATTTAACTAACAGACAACAAGATGTCTCTACTATCAAAATACTTAGGGAAAAGGCTGCTTCTGCAATGATTCAATGAATGATACATCTACAATGATACAGTATCCATGGACCAATCACCATAGCTAGCAGAGGAAGTTATGTTGATCAGCTAAGTTGAGACTCTGGGTGCCCCTGGCCCATTGCCAGGGCTGGGAAATATGGTCATAGCCCTATGAGGATGCTCAGATATGAATGTGAGAATCTTCATACACTGATGCATGACTGAAGTAGAGATGGGGTGTTTTACAGAAGAGTAGGCCCGTCAATCTACAGACAGAAAGGTGCCCACCATTATATCTTAGGCATCTGTTATTTCTCCTATTGGGATCTTGCCAGACTAATTTAATGGTTTATTTTTACTTTGGTGTATGTACCCACGTGTTTGACCAAGGAAATAGACTAGACAGCTACTGGTAATTTGCTCATAAACACTAGATTCTGTTCTTGCTCATAAACACTGAGATTAATCATCTGTCAATACATACATGATTTCCTTAGTTCAGCAAAATTATTTATTCATCATCTTAGCAAGGGAATATTTGAAAGGTTAGAAATGAGGACATAATGACCGAATTCTTATTTTTAAAGGTTATTCATTTATATTAACAAATGTCATTTTATAGAAAGACACTTTAAATTTTTCAAATAAACCTAAATTAAGTGATTTCAACACAATTCTGTTAGCTATAAATCTTTCTTATGAGGAGGCTTTGAAAATATAAAAACTATTTTTTAAAAAAAGTAGTCCTGCCGGGTGGTGATGCATACCTTTAATCCCAGCACTTGGGAGGAAGAGGCAGGCAGATCTCTGTGAGTTCAAAGCACCTATCTGATATACAAATCGAGTCCCAGGACAGCCAGGACTGTTACACAAAGAAAAACCTTTCTTGGAAAATAAGTGTGTGTGTGTGTATCTGTGTGTGTCTTATTCAGGTCCAAGTTTAAAAAAAATCTATGCTTTGAAACCAAACTTTCAGAATGTGACTGTCCACTGTTGACTCTCCTATAGGAAGGTTAAGATAACTGCCCTAGTGCTTGATTGATTTGGAAATGGGTGTGGGACCTGATACATGAAGGGAAGATCACATTTTCAAAAGGTTTCTGAACCACTTATCATGGAAGGCTGGCTAACTGCACCTGTCACTAGCTGAAGGTCAGGTCAACCTGAAGAGCCCAGTAGAGAAGTGATAAAGACTAGAGTTCCCGCCGACATCATTAAGTTGGGAATTAATCAATCCCAATGCCCTTTCATTGACTCAGAACAGAGAATATAATGGGTTTTAGAATCAGAGTGACTGCAAATTATAGCTGAAATATTCTAACACAGGGGAGGGATTGCAAAGTCTATGTAACCCTTAATGTGAATAGTGTTGTGGAGAAGGGGATTATGGGAAAAGGCTTCTTCAGAGAAAATCCTTGAGGTGGGTGTGAAGGGCACCTCAACTAGGAGGATGAAGATGAACCTTGCCTTTCGGATATGGGCATATATAGTTCTGAATCAGAGTGCTAAGGTCCTCCCATTATTAAAGAAAGTTGTAGTGGCACCTCACAAGAAGTATAGTTCTGATGGGTACTGAGTTAGCGGCAATGCTGTGATGGACAAATGTGTCTACTCTCTCCTTTTCTTCCTGTACTTATCAGAATATAACCCATTTGTATTGCTTTGATCACATAATAGCTCCACAGTCTGTTGATGTCAGCCAACCAATTCCTCCATTCTTCAGTGCGAGTCTGGGGTCCCCTAAGAGCACCCCAGTTCAACTGTAGATAATTTCTCCACAGTTTCTATTGCATAGTTTCTCTTTCATGCAACTCCCTTGGTCTGTCAGATACTAGCTTTTATTCCTACCCTGAGAGGCCCTTGCCCACTGTGCAGCCTGTTCATCCCCTCATTGTTGTGGAACAAGCATGGCTACCCAGATTTCATTGGCCTGAGCTATAGGACCAAATTTTTCTCTTATGTTCTTGCCTCATGAAATGCATAGGTAGTATCTGGTCAAAGCACATTTAGGTAAGAAGTAATGAATTTCTGAACAAAGGCATCAGGGGTACAATAGAGAAGGGAATAAATATATAGTAGAGGAGAAATTATTGATTCCTTCTAATTGGATTTAACAATAAATATTTCGTGAGCATCTGCCATGTATTAGCATTTTCCTAAGGTTGATGTACAATGAACAAAAACAAAGATACTCGTTCTCATAGAGTTTATATTTCGAATCAAGGACAGTAACCAACAACCCTCTTGATTAAAAGAAAATATATTTTAAGACAAATGGTAATGACTACGATTCAGGTGCTGCTGGTATCTATCAAGTGACCCCACACACTAAGTCTGTGCATCACAAATGTGGAGAAAGTTGAGAGTCAGGCTTCGCCTGCTCCATAGTATCTGAACCGGGAAAAGTCAGAGTTGCAGGGTTGGTAACTCAGTACCTGAAACCAGAAGCACCTGCAAAGGCCTCTTCGCTCCCGTATGGAGGTCGGCACTGGTCACCAACCAACGGGGAACCTCTGTGGGTGCTGATGGCAGGAGCAGTAACTCCACAAGGCCTTTGCGCATGACCTGCTTTCCTCCTCACAGCATGACCTGCGTGGGACTTCCACGGGGTCTCCGGGCTCCAAGGGCTTGTGTCCTGCAAGAAGCAGGAGGAAGCTGTGTGGTCTTTGCTAAATGAGCCTCAGAAATCACAGGGCAGAAAACTCAGTAAGTGAACCCCGGGTCTACAAAAAAACAAAAACAAAAACAAAACAACAACAACAACAAAAAAAAAGAAAACAAAACAAAACCCAAAAAACGGTTCGATTCCACCATCTGATGAGATGAATGTCAAATAGTCAACACTTTAAAAAAAAAAATTCCGTGAGACACCATAAGAACTGGAGCAAGGCTGAAGAGCTTTAAGCTCCATGGGGAGAGAGATAAGCATCTGCTCACTCAGTCACCCAGAGTTGGGGGAGGGGCAGAGTCTAGACAAGGTGTAGTGGATCTGGGGGAGGTGGACACACTTTAGGCAGAGGGATGCGAGATTTAGGTATCTTACCTAACAGAAACCAATTAGCTTGGTGAGGGTCCCTAATGAAGAAGAGAGGTTTGAATGTAGTCTTAGATGGATTTCTACCTAAAGATGTATCACAAATGTGTGTGTTCGTGTGTGCACGTGCCTGGGAGAGAGAAGAGGGAGGGGGGAGGAGAGAGACTCTGCAGTAGGCAGAGTTAGGTCGAGGATGGGTGGGCGGGTTGGAGGTCAGCGCTGCAGATTTGGGCTGAACCCTCAGTGTCTTGATGCTGTCTGAACCTTGAGTGATGGAGGAACTGGCTGGTGACGCAGCAGGAATGAATCCCCACATTGAAGGCTGAGCAGAGGAGCAACACTGACTGTGGAACTGGCTGGCTTGAGGGATGAGAGAAGAAACAGAAGAAAGGAATGACTTTCAGATCAGGCAATGGCAGAGGGAGGCACCAGAGCCTTCCATGCTTTTTTTGGATTAATACCTAAAATCCTATCATTCAACTTTTCTTTCTGTCTCTTCTCTCTTCCGATAAAAATGTCCCTAGCAGGGCGTCACATCAGGCTACTGGCACTTGAGTGAAAGGAAGACAGGAGAGGAATCCTTCAAAAGGAAGGAGACCCAAGGAAAAGGACACCTTTTGCAAATTCTAATTTTGGTAGACTGTAGCAAGGGTGATGCCTGGGAAGAGTGTGTTTAGGCGTCCTTGACTTAGTTCTGTTTTGAAGTTTATTGCAGGTCATGCAGAATCTGTTGTGGTTCAGTAAAAACAAATGGGGTGGAGGGTAACTCTCAGATAAAGCAAGTGCCAATCCAGTCTTGGTAGCTGCTCAGAAGCAAGTGCAAGTAATTTTTATGGGACTTTAGCTCCACCTGGTGTCATGTTAGTGGAATGCTTCTTTGTGCTGGAAGAAGTGTGTCTTCTGCATGCAAAATCAAGAGTCTTTTCCTGGTATAACTAGTTGGGAAGTTGGATAAGGGAAACTAGATGAGTGGACATAGACTGTTGACACTTTAAAATTCTCAGTTGCCAGCTGCGTTTCTCTTACATGATAGGAATATCTCTCTGAGCAATTAAGTAATGATAACAATGATGGTGGTGATAACTGTGGGCCAGGAAGAATTGTTTGAAGAAAGCAGAATCTCAATGCTGATCAAATACTTTTTATTTATAAGTTCTGAGTAACAAACTTAATACATAAGAAAGTGGGACAGAAACTTGAAATGAAGAGTTGGTTAAAAATGTCAGTACACATAATTGGAACCATTGTACCAGAAGCAGGTGTCCTGCAGTCCCCTAAAGCTTCTAAAGTATTGCATGCCAGAAATATTTAATGGCTGGTAAATTTTTGCTATTTGTTTGGAGGTCAGCAAATCCCAGCCAAAAAGTGGTATAGTGTTATTATGACAATGTAAGGAATGTTTACAGAAATGACTCCAACTCTCAGAGCACCCGCCCAGCTGGACCAGGTCTGCGGCACACCGGCTGTTTCTTTTTACCTTGGAAAAAGATGAGTGAGAAATGGTTTAAGAGGGTTTGAGGTAGCTCACTGTATGTAGTCCATCTTTCCACAGAAAGAAAAATGATAGGAATGGGCTGATGTTTCTTTCATGAGAATTTGAATACAAGATATATTAATTAAACATCTTCATTTCGCTGATGGAGAAACTTAAGCCAGCCGTGATTAAATTACACAGCTATTTGGTTGCAAGAGTCAGATCCATGTGTTTTAATTCTGGTCTGCTATTCATTTCACTACAACTATTAATAGAAGAACCCTCCGTGTCTGTGGCAGGCGGAGTAGATAAAGTCCACCCTTAGAGCAGAAAAGTCTGGCTCTGTCCAGGAAGTGTAAGCAGACTGAAGTCTACACTTCCTGTGCCTTTGGTTTTTTGAGACAAGATTTCTTTGTGTCGCCCTTGGCTGTCTTGGAACTAGCTCTGTGGACCAGGCTGACCTTGAACTCACAGAGATTCCCCTGCCTCTTCTGTCTGACTGCTAGCATTAAAGGCGTGCCCCACCACTACCTGGCCATTTCCTGCGTCTTATGATGTTCATTTTCTTACACATTGCCATGCAAACATCAGCCTGAAACTTACAGTCAGCACTGAAGTGTAATAGCCGCCAGCCACTGGAGCAAGTCACAAAGCGGTGGTCTTTACGAAGGAGAACTTAGCCACAAACATTGTCATTGACTAGGTTATAGAACTGACAAATCTCGGGCATTATCTCCATTTGGGGAAGAAACCATCATCCAGCATTATGGAATTCAGTAAATAGAAACAAAATTACAGCATACAACACTAGTATGCTTTTGTCTGACTTGAAGTTCTAATGAGGTCAAAATGCTAAGCATGGTTTCCACTACACAATCTATGTCCTTTCAGAGCCATGCTTGCTTTCGAAGAATATTTTGACTGCATCTGGAAACATATACAGCCATGTCTTAAAACTCCTAAAAGGTCTGATGTATCGAATGGGTAGTCACATCCGTAGTAATGTCAGTGTGCTTTATAACTGATGAATGTGTAGACCAGTGATTCTCAAACATCCTAATGCTGCAACCCTTTCATACACAGCCTCATGTTGTGGTGACCCCAACCATAAAATTATTGCTACTTCATAACTGCAATTTTGCTACCGTTATGAATTGTAATGTAAATATCTGTGATTTTCAATGGACCCCCATGAAAGGGCTGTTGGACCCCAAAAGGGTTGCAACCCACAGGATGAGAACCACTGATTCAGAGCTTCTCCTCATGTGCTGTTTTTAAATTTACCGTTTTGCAGTCAGTGCTGTCTAAGAATAGGCATCTCTTGGCTTATCTCGAGAGCGCTATGGTAGGAACTATCTCCAAGTCCTGTGTCAGCCTCTGAGACGGGCTGTACTGCCCTTGAGCAATTCACCTCCTTCCTAATTGTCACTTTCTTTTTTGGGGGGGGAGGGTTCGAGGCAGGGTTTCTCTGTGGCTTTGCAGGCTGTCCTGGAACTAGCTCTTGTAGACCAGGCTGGTCTCAAACTCACAGAGATCCCACTCCCTCTGCCTCCTGACTTCTGGGATTAAAGGTGAGTGCCACCACCTCCCAGCAAATGTCACTTTCTTAACTCACATTGGAACAATAATCTGAATTTTGTAGGACAGTTGGATTAGATAAGTGTGTGTGCATGAGTTGCCTTCTACAATTTCTGAAGCCACGAGACCCTGTGTCAACAAAAAGATTGGTTAAGAATTGTTTTGTGGGATTTGGTCCCATGCAGCCTAAACAGTGTGTTTCTCACCCTCTTAAAAATCCATATCCCATGACTCGAGAAAAGTCTCCCTATATTTTGTTTTATTAAAGTAGTATTTATTTAAATATTTTTCATACAGCATATGGAATTCTTTCTCGTGTTACTGCCCCCCCCTTTCATGATTTACGCCTTACAGAGGTGGCTCCACTCTGGTGGGAATCGCTGTCCCAAGAACTGGATGGACAGGGGTCTCAGCGCCTTGGGGATGTTTAGTTTAGGAACTTGAGAGGCAGTGCAGTCACGTAGCCATGTATCATTTCACCACACCACCCCACATGGGGAGAGAGGCGTGGAAGTGGCGTCTCCCTCCGTCTTCTTCAAAGAGCTTTGTAAAATAAATGAGGGCAGCAGGGCAGTCTGCACCAAGTGGTCTGAGGACTTGACTTCACAACTGAAAACTTGGTGTTTGCCAGTATAGGACACGCATTGTTATGGGGGGAGGTACTAAATCCCAAACAGTGAGTAGAAGAAATAACAACGTTATGATGATGATGTTTGTGGCCAACTAACTTAAGGAAATCACAAGGTCAAGTTTTATGTCAGTCCTTGGGGAGATACAATGAGAGAAGACTTAGGTAGCCGTGAACTGGTAGTTAACTTATTATTATTATTATTATTAATTATTTTATGCTACTTTGAGTTTCTCCTCAGCCTAAATTTCTCTTCTGTTTTTAGGAATGTGCTGGAAGGGTTCTTTCAGCCCCGTTAGCCACCCTCTGTGTCTGTCTGTCCTACTGTGACACCAGCTAACAGTCCCTGGCTGCAGGCTCCCTAGGATACAGTGCTTACATGGTGATCAACTGGGGGTTGCAGAGGGTAAGTGTAGTAAAGGAAAAAAAGGAAAGGGTTTTAGGGTTGGGCATGAGGGGGGGGCGGTGCCCTGGGGAAAATTCCAGGCAGCCTGTGAAGCAGTGTGCTCAACCCCATGTTGAGCAGCAGTCTCACTAATCGTCCAATAGTCCAGGAAGGAAGTAGTAGAATGCTCACCCATCCTGGCTCGGCAGGAGAGCACTCCCAGGCCCTGGGTTAGTCAAGCAGAATTCTCAGGAAGTACCAACCAAGTCACCTGGGCTACCTCTGCCTCGTTGCTTTTAACACTGGTGCTCATCTTGGGGGTAGAAGTAAGTAACTGATAAGGACCCTTGCACCCAAAAGGCGTTGTTTATTTAGAGAAAGTATGGGAGGAAGGTGGCCTGGGGTTGTCTCCTTCCCAACGGCTGAACCATCCCTGGATACAGCAGCCCCTCATTTTCTTAGCTCTTATCATGCCTATGAATAGCTAAGTATGATAGAAATTCAAACCTATGGCGCTTAAACTAGCTGAAGTTCATTATTTAGCATCCCTTATAAATTTAATTCCATCCTGTGAAGGGAATTTTTTTTTCTTTCAGGTATTCTAATACTTCTGAAGACTATAGGTAGGTCTCACTCACTATAATGCAAGCTAAATTACTGACCAGCAGCTCACTGCTTGATAGAAAATGCCCTTCTATTTCCTTTTCCCCTAAGTATGGTCATCAGTTTAAGGGGGGCCGGGGGGTCATTTCTGTCCTTGCTGCATAAAAAAATAGGTCAAGTGCTTTAAGCCAGTCCACAGCAATTAAAATTCAGTGGCTGCCATTGTTCCCGCTCTTTTGGGGGAAGACAAACAAAACACATGCTAATGGAGTTTCACTGGCTAAGGCCTTTGATGTGTGCTGTTTAGTGTTCTCTAGCTGAGGCTCACCTAGCCTGCCTGGGAGCTCAGATTTTGACGATACTGGTATAATACTGACCGGGCAAATAGGATCTCTGAAGTGATAGGAAATAGTTCCTTGGTGCAAAAAACAAGACAAAAAAAAAAAAAAAAAAAAAAAAAAAAAGAATTGCCAGTGGCTTAGAGCCTACATTCTTCAAGTTCTACATTTATTTTTTTGGAGACAACGTTATCTGCCAGGTTTATGTTAAAGTTAAATTTTTCCTGACTCAATTAGACAGGAGCATTTATTCTCATTAGAGATCCTGTGGCCCTTTTCACTAGATTAGAGTCAGTGACTAGGTCACATTCCAACATGGATAATTGCGTTCTGCATTCCTGAATATTTCCCAGCACTTCTCTAACCTCACCCCATCAAATTCAGTCTTTGCCACACTTATTTGCTCATTTGCAAACCAGTAATCCTGTTGTTGTGGGGGTTCCTGTGTTTCCCCGCGCCCTCCCCCATCTGACAGGTGAAAGCATTGGTCCAAACCTCCGTCCCTCACGCTTCCAAAGGGAAAATCCCCTAGCCAGTGTACATTTCCAAATAGGAAGCCAGTCTCAAATTATGCACCTTTAATCATAGGTTAAAGTCTTTGGCAGGTAAGATAGTCTTATTTTTATAAAGAGTGCTTAATTCCAATCCTTGGTGATTGAAAAAAAATAATTGCACAAACATAGGGTATTTCTTAAGGGGAAAAAAAGCAGAGTCTTCGCAATGGCAAAAACAAATAAAAAACAAAACAAAACAAAAAATACCCAACAACGAAAACCCTCTTTAAAGCTTTCTTTTAACCTTCCAAATAAATTCCACAAGGGGGCGAAAACACCTAATGGTCCGGAGCTGCAAAGTTTGTATTTGAAAGCCAGCCACCCATAATAGATTAGTGGATTAATATTTTGCTCTAAAGGATCTGGCCTTTAATGTTGACATCAATTTATAGCCATCCCAGGCGTTTACAGTAGTAAAAGTCACAGAGACCGTAAACTTCACAATAGATGTCAACCTTCTGGAACTAGTGTTCTAGCCTAGCACCCCATAAACAGTAGTGATTAGGTAACTGTTCTTCAAAGACCTATCCATAGCTCTAACGTCTTTATCAGCAGTAAAGATGCCGCCACCAGGATTTTATCAAGCACCCGCAGACCCACACGATTACATGCATGCAGACATATTTTTCTGTTGTGTGTCAATGGAGCGGTGCTTATCACTCATCTCGTCTTGAAAATTAGGCATGGAGTGTCTATTTGTTAGCAAAGCCTAAAGAACAGAGGCCCTCTTGTACCACGTTAGAACTTTTTGACAAACAGCCAAGGTACAGAGGTCAAATTTCCCCATATGCTCTAAGCAACATAGTAGGAAGCGAGACCACAGAAGGTTTTTGCAAATGTCTGCCAGGAGCCCGGTGATCTAGGTCACTGTACAGGTTTCATTAATCGGGTTGTTTAAACAAGGGCTTATTTTTCTCTGCCTAAAGCGACCTGCAGATATCACGTAGGATCTGCTCAATTGTTGATCAAGAGAGTCTTAATGAAATAGAGATGGGGGGAGGGAGAATTTGTATTTGTACTGAGGACAAATTGTGCTTTTAGCCAGCTCCTCTGTTTGAGTCCTCTATTCTGGCAGGGATGGGTCCAAGTTCTAATAATAGTTCCTTGAGCTCTGCATCTCTACATACGTGTCCGGCATTGGAGCAGCAGGAGGAATCTAGTAACAGAGCAGGTGTTGTGACTTAGTCCCTGGCAGAGTAAATAATGAAGGGTGATGGCATGACAATTCTTTGCTTTCCATGTATGTGTATGAATGTATGTATGTGTGCATGTATATATGTGTATACACATATATATGCCCACAAGTGAAAAAGAACCAGAATTGCTGTATTAATATGCATGTAAACATTTTTTCCACTTGAGTCTTCAGGGAGTGGGGGCGGGGTGATCTCACTGTGAAAATGCCAAGCTAGGAAGATTTACTGCCTGGTTGAAGACGCAGCATTGACACGTATTAGCTGAAGAAAAACTTCAGCCTTAACTATTGGAGAAATGGGATTGTTTGAAAATTGGGGTCAAAGAGCTCTGGATGATTTCCTAGAACATAATTTTTAATAGGACGATGTCAGTTATAGAGGTCTAGCAAGCCCAGTGCAGAGTGCATCTTAATTTTACCTGTCCTTCTTGGAAATAGAGCTTACAGAGTGGGAGGCAGTCTGAGTCCTGCACAGCCAGCCTGTGTGCCGGATTCCTGGGGTTTAAGGTGAGAGCCAAGCATGGAAAGGAATCGAAGCATGGCTTATTTGTAGGGTTTTCTCACTCTGCATCTCCTTGCTCTCCCCAGGTTAAGTATGAGTCTGTTATTTTCTTCTTGGCTGCGGTTATGCTATTCTTAAAAGCATGAAAACATGACAGGCGACATCTAAACCCTTCCCCTTCCACCTGGGATGTTTTGACACTTAACGCTGTTTCTCCTCCTCGGCTTGATTATGTAAGGCGATCCTTGACACCCATAGGATATGGAGATGGTCTGCATCCAGGTTGTCAGAAATGGTTTTAAAGCAAGGTGCTTGGCACCTAAATGCATGGGACAGCAGCAGCTCAGAATTCTGGATAGTGGGGCGTGCTTACAAGGGCACCTTACCGAGGTTGTAATTTGACCTTTGAATCAACCATTGGGTGAAATTTAAATATTAGAAGAAGCCTCAAGGTAGCTTCCAGCCTCCTTCCACTCGGAACTGTAACCCAGTCAGAAGCTATTTGAGAACAGATTGGGAAATGTGTCTATCCTTAGCACCTTTGCTCAGAAATAAAATTCATCACTAGCAATAAAGGTAGAATTGTCTTTAGTATCACCCCATCAATCACTCAGCATATCACTTTAGCCCACTCCTTTTAAGCCATTGAATCAGAAGCACTTGACCCCTCCTCCCTCCCATCCAGTGAGAAAGATATGTTTAATATTGCAAGCCTTCCTAGCTAAGGTTCACTGAAACTGGATGCTGTTAAGAAACAACAAAAAAGCACATTGGCAACTTTTCTGCCTTTGATTAAACCACACCAAGAGGCATGCTACAAAGCTAACAATGCAGCATTATGCCAATTATCTTAAATCCTGCTCTCCCTTAAGCTCACCGTGACCTGTTTTAGTGTCCTGTAACTTACCCTTTGGAAAGCGCTCGATCAATAACAAGTCCAACTTAAAGGAACCCACTCCCCCCAATGACTGACTAACAGGAAACAAGTTATTTCTTAACTTTTTATTGACATTGGCAAATTAAAATAGAATAAATTAACAAGTATTTTTTCAAAAAAATGTTTTGTACAAAAATACTGTCAAAATTTCCTAAAAAGCTTTCAACACAGTAGTATCTTCTCATGTACTGAATATAACTATTAGCACAGTGTCAAAAATGTTGAAGACAGAAACAAAATAAAAATCTGTGAAATGTTTGCCACTGACGACATTCCACACCCTATTATTGTCTGTACATATGGGGGAGGGGAGGGAGACAGCCAACTTTAAAGTGAACGGTATGACTTCCTGATCCAGAACGGTTTGGCCCACATCTGTTTAATCTTCCAGTTTAGCATATTTGAAAACTTAGTCAGTACTCAAATGCATAGTTTAAAAAAAATGAAGCGACATGGCAGTTTGTGCAGTAATATCTGCCCTTCAGAGTTCATGCAGCCAACAAATGCAATTTTTCCTTTCACTCATAAATCTGAATGCAGCGCAGTCATTTGAAACCATCTACAGAATCCACAAGATTAAGCAGTTTGCCAAGATTAATATCTAACAGTTGAGCACTGGAGAAAGTGAGGAAATTAGGAATAAAAACAACAAAAAAGACCAAGTTAGCTAGATATTTCAGCTACATAAGGGAGGTGAGTGTCAATGCTACAAAAAAACGAAACAAGAACAGGAAAAAAGTGGCAGCAATCTTTTTTTTTTTTTAAACCAATTTGTACAAGTTTATAGTTTACTTTGCTTCCAGGTTCTCAAACCTTTCAGGATCTGAAAAGTGAGATACTGCGTCTAAGGGAATGTTTTTTTTTTTTTTGTTTTTTTGTTTTTTTTTAATTCACACCGAAGAAGTTGGGGTGGGGGTGGGGAGGGTGATTTCTTTCGCCCGCCCGCCGAGGTTAACCGAGTCAACAGCTGACTCTGCTGGGCTGCTGTTTGCACACGAAGTCCGTCATAAAATCAAACTCGTTTTGGCCCAGCCAGAGTTCGGGCAGCTCCTTGATGCGGTCCAAACCCATTTCTATCACTAAGGACATAAGCACTTCCTCGTCGATGAAATCAGTGTCTATGACATTGGGCGGCAGCATTGCCGCGGGGACGTGAGCCACCGAGGCCGGCATGGTGTTGCCACCGCCGCTGCCGCCCGCGCCACTGCCGCCAGCGCCGCCCGAGGTGCCGCCAGAGCCGCCGGGGGTGCCGCTGCCGCCCGCGCCGCCAGGGGTGCTGCTGCCGCCGCTGTGCTTGGGGTTGCAATCTCGGAAGTGCTGGTTTGTCCCGTTCATCTGGTGGCCTGCAGCGGGGTGCAAATCCGGCATGTAGTGGTTGTGGGGGTAGGGGTGATGGTTGAAATACTGGTTGTTGAGCTTCTGCAGCTGCATGCTGGCCGGCAGGGAGCCTCCCTGGCTGGCCACCGGGGGGCCCATGAACTGGGAGTTGTTAAACCTGGCAGCGGGGGCCAGAGCGCTCGGGGGGTGCCCCCCGTTCACAGTCCCCGGCCCCATGGCGTGCCTGATGCCGCTCGTGGCATTCATGTTGCCCGCGCCGTAGTGTATGTGCTCGCCCATGAGGGCGTTGAAGGCGTGCTGGGGCTGCTGCTGCTGGTGGTGATGCGGGCTCGGGAACTGCCCCATGCCCATGCGGTGGGCAGGGTGGTGGTGCAGCCCGTTGGTGCCGTCGGGGAAGCGCCCGTGGTTCATGGCCATCATATGGTCTGCCATTTCCAGTCCTGAAAGCGAAACGAGCAGACGCTGAGACCCGCGCCACACGTGTCGCCCACCGGAGCGCACCCCACTTCGGTCGCCCCTGTACCCGCGCGCACGTCAAGCGGCAGACCACCACCACCCCCGAGAGGGAACCAACCCACCGGCAGTCCGTGCACCCGAGCTCGCCACCTCGGCGGACCTGCCGCCCGCCGGACCCGCACAGCCTGGCGCTGCGCGATCGGCCCCTTCCCCAGCGATCCGGGAGTAAGGGGGGCCGGGGGTGGCGACCGGAGCCCACACCTCCTTAGGTTCCCCGAAGTGGCCTAATAAAGGAAGTGCCCCGGAGCTCGGCCGCGAACTTCAGGCATTCAATCAGCCCTTCTCACCCTGTGGTTGCACATCCTGTTGTTATTCCCCAGCTCCGCCTCACGCTCGTCCCCGGGGCCAGCCCTGCCCTCGGAGGACGAGGCTGGCAGCAGCTCTGGCCAGCTTCGCCCGCCGCGCTCACCTTCCGTCTTTGCGATTTCTGCTCCGAACACCGAAGGCGGGCTCGTCGGGTCCAGGACCGGCTCAGCAGCACATAGAGGGGCAGCCGAGGGGCTGTGGTGCGCTCGCTCGTGCGAGGTTGGAGCCGGGGACTTGCAGCAGCCGCTGGGGCAGATTGCGAGCCGTTCCCTTTTCTTTTCCCTCCGCAGCCCTCGCCGCTCCGCAGGACCGCCCGGCAGCTGCCAACAATGAGCTGTGTTTCTTAGGGCTTTGGCCACAGTTAATATAAGGATCTCGGGAAGGGCGGAGCGAGAGCCTCCCGCCGGCAAGCCAGAAGATGCGGATTCCGGAACTCGAGCTCCCTGGATCGGGTCCCCGAGCCGCGTCCGCGAGTCCGCGCCGCACGTGCGCAGAGGCTGCGCGCCCCGGCGCCGCCCTGAAGTTCCCGGGACTGTGGGTGTCTTTCTGGCCCCCAAATGCGAGGGTTGTGCCTGCCACCTCCGAGGCAAGGAGGTGATCCTACAAGCCACCCAGTGCAGGGAAGCACTTACAGGAGAGGAGCAAGGAGCACTCTCCGCCTTCCTCTGGCCAGACCTCCCCACCCCCAGCTCGCTCACCCGGTTCACCTAGTGATCTGCCCAGCGCTCTACAGGAAAATGGGGGTTCGCTCGGTCTCCCCGCCCTGCAGTTTTCTTGGGTGCAAAAGCCTCTGAGCCTGCGGATAATGGTTTTGCTTTGCCGAGTTTGGGTTTTAAAGCTCCGGACCGATCCTGCCCTGTTCTCTGAGCGCGCTTTCCTGAGCCGCGCCTTTGTGTTTTTACTCGGGCAGCATGTAAACCTAACCGAGATATTTTCTGCGTGTGCCTGCATTTCCCCCGCCTCCACTCTTTTCAAGGACAGGGGCTGGGGGTGGGGAGCGGCAGTGGCTGCAGGTGGACGGAGCGCGCTCACAGGCCGGGTCGGCTCCGCTCCCGCGTTCGGGGATCCGCTCCACTCTTTCTGATCTGCTCCACGCTCCCGGAGTACGTGTGCTTCTGCTAAGTTTGCGTTTGCAGCTCTTGGTAGCTTTGGCATCCGAGCTGAGGCGTCCCTGCTCTGTAAACAAACTCAGCGATCCTCGTCCCCAGATCCACCTTTTTGCACATACACAGTTACTTGCTTCTGCTGTTGCCCTTGATCCAGGAGGTGGGGGTGTGTGCAAACTTGCACAGCCTCCCTCCGGGCTCTGCCTGACGGTTTGGGGTTGATTTAGAAGCAAATGGGTTTGTAATTAAGAAATTCGAGGGCTGGGTAAGGCTGCTGCAGCAGCAAAAGGAAAACAGATAGCTTGGTAATCGCTTTGTAAATAAAGTCGTTTTGGAGGTGAGCACGTAGCGGCACGTCCTGTATGGCACGGTGCGCGCATACACTGCTAGGACTCTTCCTTTTCAGTGAAATTGTTCAGTGGAGCAATAGGTGGTGATAATAATAACCTTGCCTGCAGAACGAAGCACAAGGAGCCCGATCGCCCATTTGGCTCATTGACTTGCAAATAAAACCCCTAACACTGGTCGGGTCCACTATCCAGTCGGAGCTCTGTTGCTTGGTTAGTTGTTTCCCCAACACTGGGATGAAGCTGCTCGGAGCGTGTATCCCTCATTAAGTGGTGAGATCGAGTTTAGCGCTCCGAATAAGGACTTCTGTGTACAGTTGTGTCTTCATAACTTGATGTCCATGGAAGACTTCCTGCTGTAAAGAGCCAGCACCCCTCCCCCTTCCCGTTTCTTTTTCTTCCTTCTAGCTCCAGACTTTTTTTTTAGGGTTGTATTTCTTGAGAACTGGAAATTCTGATACATCGCCTGCCTCATTCAGTAATTTTTTTCTCTTCGCTTTACTTCTGTCTTCCTCCAGTTAGTCCTATTCAAATACCCCAAACAACAAAACCCTCTGTCTTCCTCTCTACCCCTTTTCCAGGCCGTCCAGCATTTATAACCCTGTATGCAAATGATTGTGAAACCTCAAGAATGTTTACTTTTTTGGAGAAGTGAGCTTTCAGCTATAACAATTCCCCTATTTTGTTCACCTCCTAATGTCTCCTGTAGGTCATGAGCATGAAGTTGAAATATCAAGAGGTTTGGAGATCAGAAACGACACTTCCTATCAAAAAAAGAAAAAAGAAAAAAAAAAGAACTGCCAAGCCAAAATAATTTTTGAATAGATTGTTTACTTCCCTTCCTTATTGTGCAGTGTCTTGCGACATAAGGAACAGCTTTTGAATGTCTAATCTAAATTCCTCTTGCAACCATTAAGGGAAGGTACCCCACCATGCAGCGCCAGTGTTTCCACAGCCTGTTGGGCAATCCCTGGAAAGGTCACTTGCCCATCCCCCACCACTAAAAGAAAAAATAAATACTTCTGGGTCCATCTGGATGGGATGCAAGATGCATTGCTCATTTAGTCTCCCAATGCTCTTCAGGTACCCTAAGATATAAACAAGACAGGAGAACTCAGGGTTACAAAGAGACCTCAGATAATCAGGCGTTGGATACACCACACACACACACACACACACACACACACACACACACACACACACACCTCCCCACCTCCGACCATACCATATCCTGTCTCGGGGGCATTGGGAGGCTTCCCGGTGGACATGGCAAACTAGTTAAGGCCTCGGGATGACTAACAGTTTGACCACAGGGACAATTCGTTACTTCAAAGATGAGAGAAACAAACTGGAGATGATGTGCTGCAGTTGGATCCTAAGGGCCTGTGATTCCAGGCTGAGAATTCTGATTGGGTCCCAGAGACATGGAGGAGTGGGAGACAGCTTATCAACTTACGAGGCAGTATGGTGGAGGATGGTCCGAGAAATGGAGTCTGGCAACAGGGCATCCAGGTAGGGGGAGATTACAGGGAACACAGGAAGTTCCCTGAGGTTTCTCCCGGGAGCCTGGGGAGGCGTGGCCTGTCTCTGATTGTCAGCACTCGTTGGTTGTATTAGTTTTCTAGGAATGACATAACAGAACACCACACTTAAGCAACAAAACGGGATTGTCTGACACATACTAGGGAGCCAGAAGTCCACAATCAAGAGTTGGCAGGGTTGGTCCTGTCCGTCTTGTGTCTTTTGGCAGGTGGCTGGCAACACTAGGTAAATATATCACTGTGGTTTCTGCCCTCCTTTTGCAGAGTTTTTCCCTGCATATGTGTTTCACTGACCCCCAGCCCACGTAAGGACATCAGTTGGACCGGATGAGGCCTATCCTGAAGAACCTCATCCTGTGTTCAGATCCGATCCCATTCTGAGTTGAACCACCGCTTTTTTTTAAAGATTTATTTATGTATTACATATACACCAGATTGAATTGTAGATGGTTGTGAGCCACCATGTGGTTGCTGGGAATTGAACCCGGGTCCGCTGGAAGAACCACCGCTTTTTAGGAAGGCTTCATCCAACCTTGCAGCTGTGAAGAATTAAGAGCTCGGACGATCCCTGCAGATTGGGAGAGAAACTCTTTCTTCCCACATACTCCAATGGCCCTTGTCCTGGTTCCTGTGTCTCTGCTCAGATTCCACCCAGGGGTCTTGCTCAGTATCCTACCCAAAGGACAATGTCCTCTTTTGTTCCCTGTCCTCATGGCAGTCTACTTTTCTTCTTGGTGTTTGCTCCCTTCCGATACGCTGCACAGTAAATAAACTGTTAGCTGCCTTCCCCCACTAGAAAGAAGACTCCAAGAGAGTGGAGAGACCAGTTTGTTTGTTCGTGGTAGACTGGGTCAAGTCTACCTGATTGACAACAATGAATGAATTAGTGAATGCATGAATCAGTGAATGGAGATTGACACATGGCATAGCTCTCCAGGAAACCAAAATGAAAGGCGGCGAGGGAAGATTTTTCTCGAGATTGCTTTTAAGGCTAGAGGCAGAAAAAGCCAATAGAGTACTTAGCTAACACAAAACCTTGAAGACCAACCCCCAAAACCTTGTAAACCAAGTGGGGGTGCATTCCTTACACTTGGGATATGTCAAGAGTTCAAGGTCATCCTTGGCTAAATAAAAAGTTTGAGGCCAGCCTGAGCTCTCTGAGACCCTACCTGAACAAGACAAAACAACAACATTCCAGTGGAACGGAATAGCTGCTCACCACAGTGTGAACCTTGGCCTGTCTTTCACTTAAGCAATACTGTCACCGTCACCCGTTTAAGGGAGATGGGTCACCAAAGGCTCACTGGCTACTTATAATTGACTGGAATCAGGTCCCCACTGGTGTGACTTTTTGACTGACACGGAGCTTCTAAGTGTGAGCCTCCAGGTTAAGCTAAAACCTGAGCTCGGAAACAACAACAACAGAACGCTAGTGTAAAAAACTTATTCTTGAGTGTGTGGTGGGGGTGGGATGAGATCTAACACAATGATTTCTGCTTCACCTAATTATCCCACAAGTCCTTAAAAAGTAGTGTGTGTGTGCCTGTGTGTGTGTGTGTGCCTGTGTGTGTGTGTGTGTGTGTGTTAAGGAGGACTCTGAGTTTCAAAGAGGTTTAAGAAAATGAAAACAAAATAACAACAACAAAATGGTGACTTGCTGAAGCTTTTCTGGTAAGGATGGAGGATGCTCCGTGAGCTCTAAAGAGTTAACCAATGCCATGGAGAAAGTAAGGCCAACGTTATATCATATGGCTGGCACTGCCTGCCGTAAGGAAATCCAGCTGCGAGGTTTATCAAAGGAAAGTTTTGGAGGCTGCAAGGCCAAGGCCACACTGTTAGCAGACCGCTTTCTGAGGCATGTAGTCTAGGTTTGCAGTTGGCTGTCTTGTTTCGTCCTCATGTGGCCTGAAAGGCACGTGTTCCTCTTACATGTGCACAGTGTCTTTTTTTTTTTAAATAAAGACATGGGCCAGATTAGATAGGCCTGGTTCAGATGGCTTCCTTTCAATGTCACCACCTCTTTAAAGGCCTTATCTCCAAACAGTAACATCCTGAAGGCACTGAAGACCAGGGTTAGCACTTCATCACAGGAATTTGGAGGGGACACAGTTCCACTTCATCTGCAGATTCATTTTAGTTAATTGACATTTTATCAGCGTGCAACTTGAAGAGCAAACTAGGAGCACTCCTATTGGTTTTGAAGTTGGGTGAGGTCTGTTGAAAGCTTGACAAGAAAAAAAAATCAGTGGCTGAATAATTTAGGGCTCTATCAAAACAAGATTATACTTAGTAAGAGTAACTAAAGAGGCTCCAAAAGGACAATAACAGATTATGCCAGTGTGGGGCGGGACATTATTGAGTAGAGGCAACCAGTTGAGTCAAAAGTTAAAATGTGGATCCCCCGAGTGCTTGGTTGGTTGAATCAGATGCACAAAGAAAATGTTGTTTAAAAAGGGAACGACTTGAAGTATGTCAAGAGTGGGACTCTTACATGATAGAGCTGAAAATAATCCTTTTGCTGAACTTGGCTCTTCCCATGTTGGTTTGAAATGTTTCATTTTAATAAGGAGTTACAGAAACCAAAGGAGGTTTGTTTATTTTTCTTTCTTAAAAAGAAATATGTTTTACCGAGGTAGCAAGTGGGGACCTAGAATGGCTATTTAGTTCGGAGAAGAAAAGGCAGTCAGGTGACTCGATACACGCGTTTCTGGTGTGTGCGTAGAGAGCGACGTGGTGGACTTTCCAGATGTTTTCTTTGTCCACTGAGACAAAGGAAAAAAGAAAACAGCGCGTTGGAGAAGAGTGCTTGCATTCGGGGATTCCCACCCTGTAGAGTGTCCCTAGCCTCGGCTTTTTTGTGCTTTATGGATTAAGGACCTGTTTTACTTTGCTTCAAAACTTTGTCCTGATGTTAAATGATTATGAGAAAGAGCTCTGGATAACATCTAAAAAGAGAAAATAAAATTATGGAATTGTCCTTGTAGGTGGAACTTGAAACAGAAGCATTTATCCCAATTCTTTTGTTTTCCACGTGAGAAATTTGAGGTCTTGAGAGGTTAAGTGGACTTCTTCCTGACTCTCTGAACACTAGGATTGCCAAACACAGTGCACATCGTCAGAGGAGCCTGTCTTCACAAAGACAGCAGTGAACTGGATAGAGTTTGCAGAACGGCGGGATCAGGCTGTCCCAGGCTGGCTTTCTTACTATTACCTGAACTGCAGGACACCAGAACAGTATCTGTGTGGGTTTCTCCTTTTATACTAAAGGATAAAGTCAACTCATTTAAAATTATTGTCTGGTTCGAGCAGGAAGTGTGAGAGTCTGTGCTTGTGTGCCCTGAGAGGCGGTTGTAGATGACATCTTGTATGCCCTGAGAGGCAGTTGTAGACATTTTGTGTGCTCTGAGAAGCAGTTGTAGACATTTTGTGTGCCCTGACAGGCAGTTGTAGACATTTTGTGTGCCCTGACAGGCAGTTGTAGACATTTTGTGTGCCCTGAGAGGCAGTTGTAGGCATCTTGTGTGCCCTGAGAAGCGGTTGTAGACATCTGTGGTAAGCAGTTGGTTCACCTGCAGCAAACAGGTACACACACTCTCTTGTTGGAGGAGTAGGCTTTACAGTTTACAGCTGGGTTTTTTGTTGTGTTTGTTTGGGGTCTCTGAAGCAGAGTGTCACTATGTAGCCTTCACCAACATCAAAATTGTCCTGCCTCAGCCTCCTGCACACTGGAGTGACTTAGATGACTGTGCCACCGCATCTGGCCTTAAATACTTTCTTTTCTTTGTCATGTAATATATATGGCTAGGAGTACTGAATAAAATAAGTCAGCAAGAAGTGGGACCACTGTAATTATTTTGCAATCACTTGTGATAACGTTCAGGTCATCCAGAAGATGTGTTTGCCAAATGAAATTTCTTACATTGTATAAACACATAGTTCTTGAAGCAAAATTTCAGTGCTAAGAACTGCGATGATTGTACCTAATTTATTCTTCAACCTATTAGAAAGAACATTCCAACTACCATATGGAATAATTGTGGAGGTGTAATTGTGGTTGACAGCCTGAAACTATTTCTTTGATTGATCTCCATATTACAAACAAAGCACACATATTGATTTTTAAGGAAATCTTCATTGATTCTTTTAAGAAAACATTTTTACTTTTCTATCTAATTTTGAAGTGTAAAACTGAAGAATAAAAACCCCAGGAAATGGAAGTATTTTGTCAATTCCTGATCTTATAATATGTAGTTATAGCTCATATTTAAGTATGTGTTTAATCCAAAATCTGAAAGATATAGCCTGGATTTTGAATTTGTCAACAAATTATGCAAAGTGAGTTACAGTAGCCTTCACAATTTCAGTTACACATGAATCTAAAATATATTTCATATGAACTCTCGTATAAATGACCTAGAAATGCCTACATAGTTCTGAGCCAGTGATGGAGATGATTCACAAGACAGAGATGCTTTAAAAAAATGTTAGCTTGAGCCAATGTTTCTTAATATATAATAACATAGAAAACTCAAAAGAAAATAAAACTCCAGAATCTTAAATGTTTAGTCAACTGATCTTTATTATTTTTATGTATATGAAAATAGAAAACAACAGTGATATCCTTACATGTATTGCTCTTGTGTAACTACATTACCAGAACACGTTTTACATGCTAACTAAAAATGAAATTGAAGAACCAATAACATTTGAAATGAACAGCATTCCCATGGCAAATTTTGCGTTGATTCTAGTAGCAACTACTTCAGCATATACTTTGTTGAGTTCAGTGTGCTATGCAATACAATTCTTTAATTGGGTCCACTCTACAAACTTGCATTAGGGGGTAGGAGAGAGAGCCTGGCCAGGAAACTGAGCAACATCAGGAAAGTACTTACATGAATTCCATCCCCAGAATTCATGTAAAAGTTCTGGGGTAATGACATGCATCTGTTATCACAGTGCAGGGGAGATGGAGGCAGGAGAACTCAGAACTCACAGGCCAGCCAGTGTGACTTAACTAATGAGTTCCAGGCCAATGTGAGATCCTGCCTAAA